TTGCATTCGTTTGTTGACAGAGGTAATTCGTAAAGATATACTAAATAAAATTCTTAAGGATACAAAAGAATCAGCTTATGGTCAAAGGCTTCTTTTGCCACGTCTCTCCGCTCTATCTCTCTCTTCCCTTTCATCGTGATAGGGTATATATGTGTCTTATTAGGGATACAAGAAGGTTTGTCCAATAACTCACAAAATAGACTTAGTTTTTACAAGTTATTTGTATAACCTGTAAAAAATGAGGGCTTGTTTGGAATTTATGAAATTCTTAGTTATTTCTGCATTCCAAATATATCCTAAGATTATTTGTGGGTTTGTGAATAAAACTGCTTGCATCTCTAGTCGCCCTCCGCTATTCACTGCTTGCCACCTTGGAGAAAAGGGTTGCCACCAAGGGCAATTTAGACAGTCGTTTGCAGGTTCTACGCCTCCAACTCGAGACTCATGTGGAGCCTTCCTAGCAACACATCCATACTACATAAACATTATGCCAGACACAAAGGTGACAAATCTAAATACAACCAGTCGGAGGATTGGATCTAGCCATAGAGGCCCTAGATTGCTCACCGCTGTTGGATGCCCATGGCCACAACCACCACCAGAGATCCAAGGTCATGCATGGACCCAAGGGCTGAGTTACTTGTGGAGGAAGACAAGGGTAGGAGGCATGGGGCCTTGTTTAGATTACAAGTTTTTTCACTCTCTCTCCATCACATCAAATCTTTGGACACATGTATGGAGTATTAAATGTAGATAAAAAATAACTAATTACACAGTTTGATTGTAAATTACGAGACGAATCTTTTGAGCCTAGTTAGACCATAATTAGACAATAATTGTCAAATACAAACGAAAGTGCTACAGTGCAAAATACTGATTCCAAACATCAATCTAAACAAGGCCTGGATGTTGAAAATTCCATATACTCCCTAGGTGTCTCACCCCTCTAGGGCCAGCTCTACTTAGAACATCTTCAATAGTTTTAAAAAACGAGTATTCCAGGTGGCGGAAAAAGTAGAGGGCTAATTGTTGCCATTGTCCAACCATCAATAAATACTTAAAAATATAAAAAGCAGGCCCACAACTCCACGTCTCCGCGTCACGTCCATGTACGTGTTCCATGAGCTTCATCGAACACGTTCATGGCTGAGCAACCCGACGCACTAAATTACACTAAAACCTCCAAAACAGAATCTCCATTATTGCTTGGTCTACCTTTCAGTATTTCCAAATCTGAAAATAGTGTCCGGAGATCCAATTTGGTGAACCTGCTAGATGGCAGGTGGGGGTGACGGCAAGCACCGAGGAAAAAAGACTAATGCTAGGGTGTAGCAATATTGATAGGGAGTAGTAATCGTCCGTGTATTATTGTGTCATTATTAGCTAGTGGATGCCTCCATTTTCTAAACATAGGTTAGCTCGAATTTCTCCATTCCGAACTAGCTTAAACATACTGGAGTATCAAACTACAGTGTATATGTGTATCTCAAGGCAGCGTCGCTTTTAATACTCGTTGCATGAATTGTGGGATACATTGAACTGGATGAATGGGTTGGAATTTTATCTGTATTTATCATCCTGTGCAAATAGAAAATAGTTTTATCCTGTTTTTTGAGAGGCATCTCTGTTTAGTTTAATTAGTGTCCGTTTTGTTCTCAAGCAGGCCTAATATCCTTTGTTGCCGTGAAAGAAAACAAGCTATTATTTCCTGTGCACATGTATGTGCAGGCAAATATGTTCTTTACTGTGCATGCAGTGTTTATATCACTGATTTAAATCTGCTTATGATGTGGGCATACCTATGTTATTAGTTCGCCCATGCTTGCAGAATTAGCACTGCTATCGGTGATCTAGTTCGGTTCAGAGAGAAAAAAAAACATTACTAACACTTACTTTATTATAAATACATAATTAGGTTAATATCTCAACTTGTTTCTATTTGCAACTTTTAGATAATGGGCTCTACGAAGGAGAAAATTAGGAAATTTATACAGATGGAAGAAGAAGATGATGATGAATTATTTCTTGTCATTGTTCCTGCAATACTTGAATGTCTGAATGAAGAGAAGAGGCCAGAGCATACTTCCGAGTATACTGGTGCTAAGAAGGTGAAAGAAATTCCGGAGGGGCACGAGAATTGGTGTAAATATGAGTTTTGTATGGAGACATGAATATTTAAGGAGACATGTAACTATCTTAGGCGTGAGAGTCTATTGCGTGACACACGAGGTGTTATCCTTGAGGAGGAGCTAGGGATGTTTATGTATATGATTTCACACAATGCTAGCAATGATAAAATGAAGAAAGCATTTCAGCATGGTGGTGAAACTATCCACAAGCACATAAGGCCAGTTTTCAATATCATTCCCACTCTCACCTATAGATTCATGAAGCTTCCTACTTCCAACCAAACTCACCCCAAGATCGCTACGGATCCTAGATTTTGGACCCTTTTTCAGGTGAGGCATAACACTAGACCTTACTGTTTCCCCAACATTTTGCTATGTTTTTAAGTTTCATTTTTTTTATAAAATTGTATTGGTGCTATCGACGGCACACATGTGCCTATCACAATTGCAGAAGAGAAAGCCCCCCATATAGGAATAGGAAAGGCACACTATCTCAGAATGTCATAGTAGCATGTGACTTCAACCTGAACTTCACATTTATCTCTTGTGCGTGGGAAGGGTCTGCTTCAGATGCTAGAGTTCTTCGATCAACTATTTCCAAGGGTTTCCAAGTTCCCGAGGGAAAGTTTTATCTCGTGGATGGTGGGTATGCAAATGCACCACAAATCCTTGCGCCTTATCGAGGAGTTAGATATCACATTGCTGAGTTTCGGCGGCGCTCATCTCGAAAAAGAGAATATGCTGATCACAAAAGTTTTTCAATCATTGTCATGCACTTCTTAGAAACCATATTGAGAGGGCTATTGGGATTCTTAAGAAAAGGTTTAAAATTCTGAAAGTGGGAACACATCATCCCATAGAATCTCAAATAAAAATTCCAACAGCTACTGCTATATTTCATAACATAATTAGAGGTCTAAATGGTGATGAGAATTGGCTAGATCACCTATTGTGTGAGGTGAACAGAGAAATTCCAGCAACAGCTGCTGTATTCCACAAGCATCATGAAGTGTGAGGTGAACAGAGAAATTTTTATCAACTTCACAAACCCAAGAGTTTGTCTATTATGGATCAAGGGTGAGATTGCTCCAAAGATAAGTTTACTGTTCTTGTGACTACCTACCGTACTAGTACTATCTCTTGTGTGAGAATTTTATGGTACTCTGAGAAGTACATGGTCTTGTAGAATTTATTTATGAAATCTGACCTTCTGCCAGTCAGCCAGTGCCTGGTGCTGCAATTGACTGTTGGAGTTTCTGTGAGTTTTACAGTGCCTTTGACTGAAACTGAAAACCCAAATGCCTAATTTTACACTGTAAAGTAGGAAGCTTTTCATTAATTTGGCTGTACAAGCGAAGTTTCTAATCTAATGTGCATGTAGAAGAATGATATTTTTGGCTATATGATAAAAAAAGTTATCCTTTGCAAATCCTTGTTATCGAGACATGAATAAAAACAAGCATCTGAATTAGCTTCAGTCTAGGTTCACATTGCACTATTTTATAAATATAACATTGCATGGACTAATAATGATTTTTCTCCATCCAATTGCAGGGCTGATTCTATATGCTCTAGCTTGTTGATGCGGGTTGTGAGGGATAGATTGTAGTGCGGTATGTCGAGACAGTTGTTAATTCTCTCTGGTTATGCAATAAGATTAATGTAATATATACTTTTGTCATAAACCTGTAGACTCTTGTATGTTTTCTTGATTGCTTAACACACTCATCAGAAGCCAATGGTGATGACCAGCTATGAGATGAACCTGTGGACTCTTATAAGTTCAAAGTTCATCTGTTTGCTTACCCTATGAGATCAATAATGTGTGCTTTGAATTAGTAAATTAAAGTAATTGATCTTTGAATTAGTAAAACTTTTGTGCTTTGAATTTGTGTATAGTAGTATTAAAAGATTATTCATGGTACTGATTTTCAATTTTGCAATCGCACTTTTGAAATCTTCATTTTTTATGATTTTTTGAATATTATTTTGCCTGGCTTGGATTTGTATCCCGGCGTTCCCAAACGGTAGCCGGTAAATTTCCCCCCAAGGGGATTCCGTCTCCTTGGAGGACAACGGTGGCAAGTGCAGTGGATAATTCCCTTGAGAGCTTAAATCCACGTGGTTTTGGGGCCTGCATCCAAAGGAGCCCTCAATGGTGTGGGGAATCCATCCACCCCGTCCGTCGACAGGGGAAGATCTTCTCTTTCTTCGGCTCCATGTTCCTTGCTGATTTCCTCAATCATCTGAAATCTAGCGTAGTTGGTGATCTCGAGGTCTAGTCTCGAAGATCACATGATTCTAGTGAAAATCTTCAGCGTTTGTTTGTTTGTGTCGTCGGTGGCCTGCCTCCAGGGTCCAGGCAGACGCCTAGCCCAATGTCCCTTTCTGCACGTTCATCTTGGGACTGGGGCTCATGTGAAACTATGAGCTTGGATGGTCAAGCATGCAGCTGCCTGTCACCATTGCCAATATCCTGCTTGTATGTACGTATACGGGATAGACCATGAGCTCCGTTTGAGGTACATGTCGTCGTCTCGTCTGCAAAAATCGCAGTTTCTTCTCTCAAGTCCCGTTTTAAATCCGTTTGCAATGAATGCTCAGTCGAAGTCTGGAACAAAAATAGTACTAGCAGCATTTGCCATCGATCCCGTGTCATCTTCAGTCTGGCACCTCATCAGGTTATCATAAGTTGATTAAACCTGTCCCGGTGCGCCAGACCACACCAAACACCCCACGCGACGCCACTGCAGCTGCAGCTGCAGCCACAGGGCGCGCACGGCACGCATATACCACGCACACACCAAACCAAAACGCCTACCAATATTACATCATCGCTGCGCCTGCGCATCGCACGTGGAAGCTAGCTGCTTACAGGAACTGCAGCAGGCGGCGGCCGGCGGCGGGCTTCTTGCGCAGTCCGACGAGCGAGGCGTCGTCGACGAGCGGGCCACAGAGCGCGCCGTCGGCCTTCATGTGGTAGAAGGTGCTCTGGAAGACGACGCGGGTGCGGTTGGCGATGGCCGTGAAGTCGAGCACGGCGCGCTTGAACCCTCCGGTGCCCTTGGACTCGTACGGCACCTTGACGGTGGCGCGCGCCGCGTAGGCCTCGGCGACCATGGACCCCGTGCATCCGTCGCCGGAGTCCCCCACGGCGAAGGCGAGGCGGTAGTTCCACCCGGGCACGGTGCGCACCTCCTGCACCAGCGCGCTCTCCCTGCCGCCCACCAGCTCGACGGCGCGCGCGCCATGGGGCACGGCGAAGTGCGCGGCGTCCACGTACTTGACGGCCTTGGAGGAGACGATCATCCAGGCGGGCAGCGGCGAGTGGTCGTCCTCGATGTTGGGCGGCACGAGCACGCCCCACGACGCGTTGGGCAGGAAGTAGGGCCCCTCCTCGAAGCCGCCGTTCTTGAGCATGTTGCCCCTGACCAGCGTCGGCGGGTACAGCGCCCGGATGGCGACGCCGTCGATGAGCGGGCCGCAGGCGGGGTCCTCCTCCACGCCGGGGTTGTGGATGACGAGCGTCACGGCGTCGAACTTGGCCTTGAAGGCCCAGGCGTACGAGTCCCAGCCGTTGCTGCCGTAGATAGTCTGCATGGGGAGCACCCCCCACTCGGGGCTCACCGACACGTTGAGCGTCTCCGCCTGCGCGCACGTCCGCGCCGCGCTGAAGGTGATGGCGTAGTAGGCGCCGCGCGTCACGGGCAGGCGCTGCCGGATGGCGGCCTCGTTGCCGAGGCGCACCGCGTGCGCGCCCTGCGGCACCACCAGCAGCATGTCGCCCTGCTTGTGCCCCGACTCGATGTACTCCACGAAGCCGGAGGTCTCCCAGCGAGGGATGGCGTTGGCGCCCGACACCACCGTGCCGTTCACCAGCTCCGACTTGGGCGGGCCATCCTCGAAGTTGCCGTTCGGAAGAAGACCTGCATTGTTGTTGCATTTGTTGTCAATTGTGGTCGGTCGATCGATCGAATGGGAGCTCCATGAAATTGACTCACACCGATCGAATCTAATTCATACGAGGCCTCGTTTAGATCGTAAATTTTTGCAATCTGCAATTTGGACACTGTAACACATTTTGTTTGTATTTGGCAAACTTTGTCCGATCATGGACTAACTAGGCTCAAAAGATTCGTCTCGTGATTTACAACCAAATTGTGTAATTAATTATTTTTTTAGCTACATTTAATACTCTATATATACATCTAAAAATTAATATAACGGAGAGAGAATGAAAAAACTTGGAATTTCGAGACAATCTAGATAAGGCCCAGTACCACTGCGCAGCTATTGCATGTCAGGGTGTTGCAAATGGAGCTAAAAAGAGAGCTTCTTAAACGCGACACGACACCAGATGTTGCAACTGTAGTAGGCAGTCTTTTGAGTTGACACTGACAGAGTGCACGTTAGCATGGTAGCCTAGCCTAGCTATTGTGGTTGTTGTTTGTGTTTGTGACCAGTCTGTTCGTTCGGCTGCTGTGCCGGTGGGGGCTCAGCTGTCATCAGACGCATTCACGGCTGCTCTGTCTACCACATGCCGAGAGATCTGCAGACACATGCAACATGCATGGGTCCGATGAAACTGAACACGGTCAAATCAACACACAGCCTAGCTTATGCTTATGCAGTGCTCCTGCAAGCTTAAAGAAAACACACACAGCCTAGCTCCTCCTCCTTATTCTATCTTTATCCCCTTTTTCACATCACATCACCGGGCAATACTCCTGAAAATTCTATTAGTACTAGTACTTCTAATCAGTTTTATTAGGAGCAAGGACTGATCAAAACGATGCTTTGGGCGGTGGAATGGCCAGGGTGGCAGAATCCTTGTGTATATCGACCAGACCAACATGAGATACCAACTGATTAATTAAGTGGGCCGGGCCAGCCGGGTATATATGCTTGCCATGTGAGGTGTACGTGGCCGTGGGCCAGGCAACAGGTGCATACAGTACATTTGCATGATGCATGGTCCTCTTCTAATAATAATAATCAAACCCATATGACAGTGACCCAGGAATCATTTTGTCGTGACGGCCCCCCTTAGCTTTGCTTTGGGAAGGTTCGGATCTAACCAGGCCATCATTAACTACGTGCAACCATAGTGACCCCGTTCATATGCTCTTAAATGTAATTTAATCTATTTCTTTTTTCATTCAGAACAGTATTTCTCTTTCATAAATTTTTTTAGCATTTTTTCAAACCATCCAAATTTTTTCCAGCGAACAGGCCGAGTGTTGTGTTCGCTAAAACCGGTGGACCGGTCATGGGCCTGACACGTGATGGGAGGGATTGCGATCAGACCAGTACTCTGCTAACAGGTTAGCATTAAATACGTACTCCTGTGTATAACAACAGGTTAGGGGCAGAATTTACTCTCTCTACATCAGTATATGTGTGTTAGTTATCCAAGCACTCCGTAGATCGATGCCGCCGCTATGAAACAGGACACCCTACGTCGCGTCCATACTGATATATATTCTGTACAGTTTTGTGAATACAGCGGTGCTAGACTCCATGTATATTTTTCTGGTGTTAATGTTATTACGACGACCTACAGTTGAGCTGTGCATATGGACAAGCGGGAATTTTGCTTCGATTAGCTCTCGCAGGGCTATGCTACGCCGGCAGCTGGAAAGCTGGAATTGGAAGCTCTAAACAGAGAGAGGTCACTACTAGGAGCAGTACACTGTGACTCTGTGAGGTGAGGACGATCTCTGAAAGGTGACTTCACTCTCTTATGCCCTACTAGCAGCATCAACTAAGACTGAAGCAGTGAAGTGTGTTGTCAAAAAACTACTAAGACTGAAGTGAGAAGTACTGGAGCAGCACAAACGGAGCGATAATGCCACACGCTACGCTACGAATATGACAAAGCTTAGCTCCGAGCCAGAGCTCTCACCGTCGGTGACGACCGCGGCAGCACGCGCCACCGCGCATACGAGGAGCAACGACAGCGCGGCGCGCCGCATCTTTGCTCTCCCTCCTCTTCGACTCACAGTTCACAAGGACCCCCTACCCTACCGTATGTGGCTTCCCCTTTGGTTCTTCAGCAGCTGCAGGAGCTTCGGCGATGGGACACGGGAGGAGGACGAGATGAGCAGAGCAGCGGGCGCGAGGCCGCTCTTATAGAGCGACCCCGCGGCACAACGCCCACGAGGCTGCCGCTCAATCGCGAGAATGCCACTCCGGGTCCGGGGGCCTGTTTGACAACTTGATATGTAACGCGTGTCCCGCCTCCCGCGTGGGGTTCCGAACGGACGGACGCGCCACGGAGACTCGGAGCCGACGCGGAGTGGCGGTCCTGCCCTCGGGTCGGGGGGACAGCCCCTGCGTGTGGTCACATGGCCTTCTTGCTGCGCGTACGTGGCCACTTGCCAGTCGATACGCGGAGCGGTGCTCGGCTTTCTCAGGACTCTGGTGAAGAGCAGAGCACGGTGCGGCGGTGGTCAGGGGGGGATAGTCTCGTCATTCCGGGTCCGGTAGTTTCGGCCGCGTCGGTTTGATTGGACACGACGTGCGGTTCGTCCCTAATCTGGTTGCCCGTGCTCGGTTAGTGCTTGTCATCATGGCAATAGTCTCATAGTCTGGTTGTATATATATATATATATATATATATATATGGTATATGGTACTAAAGGATACATGAGTGTCTGATAGCAGCGTGTAACAGCTCGTATGTGTGTACGTAGGATCAGCAACCAGTCCCTATACTACTGTTCCATTAGTGGATATATATACTCGTACGCATCTGCTAATCAGAGTCACAGCCTTCGCAGCTGGATAGATACGGTACACATGCATCCACCGTCCAGGCATGCATCTAGCTGATTCCTCACGCTCACTGTCACATTTTCAGGAACGATATGCACGACAAGATCACAAGACTGGGACAAGGGACGTCGATCGGCAAAGATACCGCCAACCTAGCTCGACCGGCACATGGCGCCATGTGTACGTGCGCCGTAAGTCATGCGCCCCTTGCTCGCCGCTTGACAAAACTACTGTGTTCTGTCTGCAGTGTACGTAATATGTTGCACTCCGACTCACGCATCAATCAAGGAGACAAAAAACAGACCCAACGCAGATTGATCGCCGACAGGAAGGGTCGGCCGGAGCTCGTCGTCGCTTGCTTGCACTCAACAGCAAGCTAAGCCAGGAGAGTAGCACCAGTAATGGCCCAAACTCCCAAAGGATACGGATACGAACACGGTCACGCGAGGTCGGCGGATGTGACATGGCCTCCCTTTCGCGTCCGAAAGCTGATGCCGGCCGGGCCTCTGTGCATGGCGACGGAGAGAGAGAGACTCTACGGCGACGAACTAATGATACTATACGATCCGGCGAGGTCCAGTCCATATCCATGCATCAGCGACGACGACACCGGTCGCCGCCGCATCGCATCTTATATTAATTAGCACGCACGCTAGCTGCCGCTGCCGCTGCCGCTGCCTGCCCCATAAAACAAGTGATGGTTCCATGTGCCACCGAGGGGCTGTGTCGCGGATCCATAGCCGCGCCGCGCGCGCGGATGCATGCACGCGCGCAGTGGCCTAGTCAGTGCCGTGCAGCGCCACTGCCCCGCTGCCCCTGTGCCACTGCCATTATTAGTTAATGGGTGGTGGATGGAGCCATGGAGGCAAAGGGCGATCTTATCTTTGGAGCTAAGCCCATGTGATCGAGCCTGCTCCAGCGCAGTATCTGATGTGCGTGGAAGCTCGGATGCAGGGGCCTGCAGGCGCCATGTAGCTGATGCTACACACTTGCGGCTTGCCTACTTGAATGTTTCTAAAAAAATAATAATAAAAATAAAAATACTTGAATCTTACATGGCGCCATGTATTAGACGCGCTATGATTGTTTTTGTCGGTCTAATATACCGTGCTACCTGTCATTTCTTCAGCTGAAAGTGAACGCCGCCGCGGTTATGGAAAGACAAATTCTTTGTATAGGTGGATGCACACCGGCTTCCGTGCAGCACCGCTCGATCGGCTGCCGTCCACCGGCCGTCTTGGTCGATGTTCCGCCGGTTCTTCCGCGCAGCGCCGCTGCAACCCTGACCGTGTCCGTGTAGACGGCATCCGAGCGAGCAGGAGCCGATCTGGTAATCAAATAAAATTCTATGGTATATAACATTAAGTGTTGTATGGTTTAATATCATACGGGATTTTAACTGAACGCTGATTCAACTTATATAGTTGAAAATTATTCATCTAAACTGAGAAGCTAAGAAAAGGATAAAGACGTGCCGGGCCGGGGCGTGGGCGTGGGCGTGGGCGCGGGCCGGGGCGAGGCCGTGGCGTGGTGTGGCGTGGCAGGCGGGCGTGGTCAGTCTTTTACCACTTAAATCCATATTATCACGGGAGTTTCGCTCTTTGATGGTGGAGGCGAATTGACTGCGTCAGTTACCGTCTCCTGGGATTCTCCGCTGCCTTCGTCTCCTTCACCGGTCGCAGCCATATATCCTATCCTCCATCAGTCCAGACCCTGGCTTCCACAACCGTTCCCGAGAGAATCCACATCTCCGCAGCCTTCTGTCTTCTCTGTCCCGTTCCTCTACGCGCACGGAGTAGCGGGAGAGCAGGTGCCTCTGGAACCCTCGTCCGCTGGAGAACCTTGCACGGGGTGCGCAGCGATTGGGTTTTGGGGAGCGATCCACCGGTCGCAGCCATATATCCTGTCCTCCGTCAGTCCAGACCCTGGCTTCCACAACCGTTCCCGAGAGAATCCACATCTCCGCAACCTTCTGTCTTCCCCGTCCCGTTCCTCTCCACGCACGGAGTAGCGGGAGAGCAGGTGCCTCTGGAACCCTTGTCCGCTGGAGAACCTTGCATGGGGTGCGCGGTGATTAGGTTTTTGGGGAGCAATCCACGACTGCTCATCTAGATCCTGTCCCGGTGATTGCCCACGGAACCGCAAGCTGTCTTTTTCCTGGTAATCCGTTCGTGGGACTGCACTACGAACATCGTCCTGCACCGACTATGATCCGTGACTTCGAGCAACGCACTATGTCGACTAGTGCGAATGGAGCCTCCGATGCCCTCGGCATGGGATCCTCCGCTAGGTACAGTCTAATCTTTCTGATTACTGTAGTCTATACTTTTACTGTATCTATCTGTATGTCATCTTTGCATGCTGTAGCGTTCGTTAGAGATATACACATGCACATATATGCCGTCACGAACCTGCTGATGTTATTTTTCTGGATTAAACCGATAATGAAAATGCCTATATTTCTAACAATTCAAAAACCTAATGTTAGGCAATTTTCTGTCAGTGGTTTTGCTGCTGCTTTGAAGCCAAATAATTTTGATGGCAAGAATTTCATGATATGGCGTGCCAAGATGGTATTGTGGTTGACTGCGATGAACTGCTATCACGCCGCACAGGGGAAGCCTGAACAGTTTACTCCTGAGGAGGAGCAAAAGTTCTTGGCTGCCGATAACCTGTTTCGAGGAGCCGTGATTAGTACACTTCATCCCAAGTATGAGAAAAACTATATATCTTGTACATCAGGCAAAGAGTTATGGGATGCTCTTGAGGCAAAGTTTGGGGTTTCTGATGCTGACAGTGAGCTATAACTTATGGAGCAGCTGTATGACTACAAAATGGTTGAAAACCGTTCTATGGTCGAACAGACTCATGAGATAAAGGCACTAGCGAAGAAACTAGAACATTTCCCATGTTTGTTGCCCGACAAGTTTGTGGCCGGCGGTATAATCGCTAAGCTTATTGGATCTCTTAATGTTGAGGAGAGGGCAAGAGCAAAAGACAACCGTGGAAAAGGAGTTAAGTCTTCCACTATCAATATGGTGCAGAAAAAAAACTCATTTGCATCTCGTAATAAAAAGAAGAAGAACATGCCAGAGAACAACAATGCAAAGCCTAAGCAAACTGCACAGTTTAAGAAAAAAAACAACAAGAAAAGGTGGAGGATGCTTTGTTTGCGGGAGTGATGAGCATTGGGCAAGTGCGTGCCCAGACCGCAAATATAAGCAAGAAAAGAAATTAGCAAACATGGTAATTAGCGAGACTGGAGGAGGAACATCTGGATATAGTAATTCTTTACCTTTTGTTCTTTCAGTTTATCTTTCACCTGAGTGGTGGATGGACAGTGGTGCTAATATTTATGTGTGTGCTGATGTTTCCTTGTTTATTTCCTATCAGACCGGCAGGAGTGGAGCCTTGCTGACGGGAAACGGTTCGCATGCGCGTGTTCTTGGTGCTGGTACGGTCGTTCTGAAGTTTACTTCGGAAAAGACGGTGCTATTAAAGAACGTGCAACATGTCCCCTCCATCAAAAAGAACCTTGTTAGCGCTTCTCAGATGTATCGCGATGGCTTTAAAATTGTGCCTGAGTCCAATAAATGTGTTGTATCGAGACATGGAACATTTGTTGGAAAAGGTTATGATTGTGGAGGCTTGTTCCGCTTATCTTTGCTTGATGATGTGTGTAATAAAGTGGTGAACAATGTTAATGTTTCGGATGAGTCGAATATTTGGCATTCACGACTTTGTCACATTAATTTTGGTTGTCTCACGCGGCTTGCAAATATGAATTTAATCCCAAAATTTAACTTAGTCAAAGATTCTAAGTGCCAGATGTGTGTGCAATCGAAGCAACCGCGCAAGCCTCACAAGGCTGCTGAGGCGAGGAACTTGGCACCATTAGAACTCGTTCATTTTGATTTATGCAAAATGAATGACGAATTGACTAAAGACGGTAGACGATACTTCATTACATTTATAGATGATTGCACTAGATTTTGCTACGTGTATTTGCTGAAAACAAAAGATGAAACGTTGCGTTACTTTAAGGTCTATAAAGCTGAGGTAGAAAATCAACTTGAGAAGAAAATCAAGCGTTTGCGGTCCAATCGCGGGGGAGAATATTTCTCAAATGAATTTTTTGAGTTTTGCGCGGTGCATGGAATTATTCATGAGAGGACGCCACCATACTCACCATAGTCCA